TACTTTATGACAGGTTACTGTTTATTTTCTGTAAAGTGTGTGTAGGTAAGTAAATTGTTTCAATTGAACTACAGTTCACATGCTCTTCTAGAATAAGCCCCTCCACTGAATCCATGCAAGGGTATGCCATTTATAATTTAGACAGGCATACTCTTTTAAAAAACATTTCTCTTTCTTTGACTGGCTTATTTCACTTAGCATAATGTTCTCCAGGCCCATCCATGCTATGACAAAAGGGGATTGTTTTCCTTTTTACAGCAGAGTAGTATTCCATTGTGTAAATGTACCATGGCTCTTTTATCCGCTCATCTACGGATGGACACGGGTTGCTTCCACATCTTGGCTATTGTAAAAAAAACACTGTAATGAACATAGGGGTACATATATTCTTTCACATTAGTGTTTCATTTTTCTTCAGATAAATTTCCAGAAGAGGAATCACTAGATCATAAGGTAGTTTTATTTTTACTTTTGTTTTAACTACCAAGCAAAATAGAGGTAAATAGAAAGAAAGGAAGAAGACCGCTCTGGGTGGAGGGCAGTTAGGGAAGGGGGACAGATTACTCATGTCTTGCTTTCCAAAAAAATATGATTAAGCAACAAAGAAAAAAAGAGAGAACTGATGTACATAGATAACAGTGTGGTGATTGTGGAGGTGGAGGGGGATTGGTGGAGGTCAAAGAGGTCATATAGGGAGGTAAACAGTGATGGAGAAAATATTAAATTAAAAATAAATAAAATCATTTTTAAAAAGCCTTTTCACATGTAAATGTGATTATTTTAGTTCATTACCCAGTTGAAAGTAGGCTCAGCATTCTATGTATGTTACTTCCCTAGTGTCTATTATGTTGCTGAAAAACTAGGCACTAAATCAACATGCTTCAAATACACTTCCTTGTAAACTAGAAAACTATGAAATTATCACTTTAAAATAATTAGAGAAAATGAAACTTATAAATAAGTAACATTTATTACTTCTGTTAGTGTGACTTGCCTTTTTCCTTTGTTTTGTAATTACATTTTTACATATCTGAAACTATTTTTCACATAGCTTACATACATATTCTATGTGAATTCTATATATTTTTACATACATGAAACTACTTTTTTCCAGAGATTTATAATATAAATATTTTAACATAATTTTTCTAGCCTCACCTGAGGATATGTTTGTTGCATTTTAGAGAGAGGAAGCTAGAAAGAGAAACACCCATGTGAGAAAGAAACATGGATCAGTTGCCTCCCGTATGAGCCATGACCAGGGGGATTGAACTGGCAACCTAAGTATCTGCCCTGGCTGAGAATCAAACCCAAAACCTTTTTTAAAACATAATTTAACTGGCAATAAAATATACAAGTTTATAGAAGACCCATAATTTACCTAGCCATTTCATTATTATTAACATGCACTCTATTTCAACTTTTTCAGTTGTTCAAGAACATAATGTTTATTAAAACACTTCCTCATTTTGCCTGTTTACCATATTTACACCTCATGTGGCTACAAATCTAAGACTAAGATTGCAAGGTCATAGGATAAGCATATTTGGTTATGGGAGCAGGGCAGTGTCCTCAACATTTATTTTTAATTTTCAAAATGGATACAGCAATAATGGTTACAGCACAACATTCATTAAAACATTTCCTCATTTTTCCTGTTTATTAATCTTTGTTATATATGAGTCCTTAGAAATTATGTAATCAAATTATTAATCTTTTTTGTTTCCTTTGTGTTCTTCACAAGTGCTTTAAAATCAAACATGAATTATATTATTTTAAATTTTAGTTTGTATTTAATTTATCATTTGAATAAGTTCAAAAGTATCTATTGCTATAAAAAGACAACATAACAAAGAGGCATTGTAATTACCACTAATCTTACCCATTTAGCTAAATAGTTCATAATTCTAAAATGTTTTGTGATTTAAGCAAATTTTCACTTATTATAAACTATAGGCCCAGTGTTCAAAAATTTGTGCACTCGGGGGGATGGGGGAGTCCCTCAGCCCGGCCTGTGCCCTCTCGCAGCCTGGGACCCATCGGGAGATAACAACCTGCTGGCTTAGGCCTGCTCCCGGGTGGCCGAGGGCAGGCCCAATCCCTAGGTGCAGCCCCTGGTCGGGCTCAGAGCAAGGCTGATTGGGGAGTTGGGGCGCCGCCCCTGTCATGCACAGAGCAGGGCGGATCGGGAGGTTTCGATGCCACTCTCAGTCACGCTCAGGGTAGGGCCGAGTGGGGGGTTGGGGCACCTCCCCCTGTCACACTCCAGGCAGGGTCGATGGGGAGGTTGTGGCGCCACCCCCTGTCACACACAGAGCAGGGCCAATCAGGGTTGTTGGGGAGCTCTCCCTTGTCACTCACAGAGCTGGGCTGATAGGGGAGTTGGGGCACCGCCCCCTGTCACACAGAGAGCAGGGCGGATCAGGGGGTTGGGGCGGCACCCTCTATCCCCCACA